ACACACACACACACACACACACATATTCATAGGCAGTTGGAAGCACAAACAGACAGACACATAAGCAGTTGGAAGCACAAACATACAGACAGCTACCAACAGTGGCCTCGACCAGAGCCATCACTCCTGTAGACACCTCAGAGGACCAATACTATTTGTCCTGTAATTGCAAACTCCTTCTCGAGGGGACCACTGCAGCTGCTTCTCCCACAACATAAAGATTAAATAAGTTTAGCATGAGTGATATTTTGTACATTGTTGGTTATTTTGTGAGTGTTTGTTTCGTATCTTGTAAAGTATTAGGACACGAGATAGAAGAAGACATGATCCCCCAAGAGACATTTGGCAGGATTGTTTTCCGCCTGGGAATCTTGAGTGTATTTTGTTACCCTCGGCCTTGCTGGCAATATCTGCCCAAGCTGTCCACCACACCTCCACCACCACATTTTCTCCTTGCACAAGAGACGCTTCTTTTTACTTACTATTTTCATTCTTTCTGGGTTTATTTGATGTCTTGTGCCAGAGTTTCTTTAGCGATTTTTTTTCATCATTGTTGCTCTTAATACAATAACAGCAGTACTTTTAAACTAATAGGTATTTTGCTCTTCGATATTATAGAGGAAGAAATTAAATTGCATCCTTTCCAGGTGCCTAAAAGAGAGCTCAGGTTCTCATCTGGCTCAGTTTAGATGTGAACGTGATAACTTAAACAAATAATGATTGTTTATAATGTCTCCGAAGAATTAAATAGTGATCATATTTTGTTATTGTTGTCCAGAGTTATGAGCTAGTGGTGTTTGTTGACACGCGTACTGATAATTAATCTCTCCACTATCTGCTCTTGTTCAGCGGCTGGTCACAGTACTGCGTTCATTGTACTATTCTCAGTGACTAGAGTCATCACCGATCACAATACTTCCTTCACCCTTACAATCACTATCACCACACTCTTCACCATTACTACCACCACCACCACTCTCCACCACCACCACGACTCTCCACCACCACCACTCTCCACCACCACCACCACCACCACAGCAACAACCACTACACTCTTCACCAACAACACAACAGCCACCACACTCCTCACCACCACAACGACCACCACACTCTTCACTACCACCACCACTCTTCACTACCACCACCACTCTTCACCACCACCACACTCTTCACCACCACCACCACAACGACCACTACACTCTTCACCACCACCACACTCTTCACCACCACCACAACAACCACCACACCACCACCACTCTCTCACCACCACCACCACAACGACCACTACACTCTTCACCACCACCACCACAACGACCACTACACTCACCACCACACTCTTCGCCACCACCACACTCTTCACCACCACCACACTCTTCACCACCACCACACTCTTCACCACCACCACACCCTCACCACCACAACGACCACCACACTCTTCACCACCACCACACTCCTCACCACCACCACACTCCTCACCACCACCACACTCCTCACCACCACAACGACCACCACACTTTCACCACCACCACACTCTTCACCACCACCACACCCCCACCACCACAACGACCACCACACTCTTCACCACCACCACACTCCCACCACCACAACCACCACCACACTCTTCACCACCACCACACTCTTCACCACCACCACACTCCTCACCACCACAACGACCACCACACTCTTCACCACCACCACACTCCTCACCACCACAACGACCACCACACTCTTCACCACCACCACACTCCTCACCACCACAACCACCACCACACTCTTCACCACCACCACACTCTTCACCACCACCACACCTCACCACCACAACGACCACCACACTCTTCACCACCACCACACCCCTCACCACCACAACGACCACCACACTCTTCACCACCACCACACTCACCACCACCACACTCTTCACCACCACCACACTCCTCACCACCACCACCACCACCACACTCCTCACCACCACAACGACCACTACACTCTTCACCACACTCCTCACCACCACAACGACCACCACACTCTTCACCACCACACTCATAACCACTCACAGCTATCCAACTTTTCCTCCACCTTCAGGCCTTTGCGCCGCGACACTTGGTCTGCTAATTCACGTTCCACACAAATCATCCGAAGTTGGGTGGTGCCTCCTGCAGACCTGAGACCGCCCTCAGCCTGAAACCCGCAGCCTGCACCCCCGTCCTGTCCGCCGTCCACCCATCCACCCGCCCGCCCGCCCACCCGCCTCCTCTCTCTCTCTCTCTCTCTCTTAGTATTCATTACTTTCCTGGTTTGTATATGTATATAAATTATTTGTGTTCTTGTTCTCAACTGGTTGTTTTTTGTTTAATATTTGGTTATGAGTTTTACGTTGTGTATCTCTATACGTTTTCCCGAATTGTTTGTACCTTTGGGGAGGGGGTGAGGAGAGAGAGACACTATTTCAGCCTCTGCTTGCTCTCGCACTGTCGTACCCTACGTCTCTCTCTCTCTTCCTCTGTATATATCCTTCCTCTCTCTTTCTCTCATTTTCCTCTTTCTCCCTCTCACCACATTTCCTTTCTCTCTCTCTCTATTGTCCTCTTCCCCTGTATCCTAGAATTGTAGAATTTCCCCACACACCCAAGAGCTACAATAGAGTTAATAGACACGTGACAGCCTTAAGAACACACCTCCGTGAAAATGTCCAAAAACCATCTTGGTGGAAATTGTTTGACTGGCCTCGTCTTTCTGTGAGCTTCGCTACGTAATGAAATTTGAAAATGTTGACAGTCGGGTCGTGTGGTGATCTGAGAGGCTCTTAGTAGCCAATTTTACCCATGTGTGTGTGTGTGTGTGCGCGCAGGTTCCGGTAACTTAATTGTAGCTATGAATTACATCCTGATCCCCTCAACTGCCCCATCCTCCCACACTCCCTCTTCATTAAGGTAAGACCTGTAGATTGACCCACAAATGAAAGTTTGGATGAGACAACATAAATCCAACCCCTGACCCCTCCCTAACCCCTGACCCCTCCCTAACCCCTCCCTGACCCCTCCATAACCTCCACCCCTGGCCCTCCCCTTCCTAACCTCTGGCCCTCCCTAACCCCTGGCACCTCCCAACCCCTGGCACTCCCTAACCCCTAGCATCTCCCTAATCCTGACCTCCCCCCTGGCCCCAACCTCTGGCTCCTCCCCAACCTCTGGCTCTTCCCTCACACCTGGCCCCTCCCTCTCCCTCCATAGCCTCTGACCCCTCCATAGCCTCTGACCCCTTCCTAACACACAGGTAGAGACACAAACACGAACACAGGCAGAGAGAGAGAGAGAGAGAGAGAGAGAGAGAGAGAGAGAGAGAGAGAGGCAATAAACACAACATGTATAAGACACAGTTGCCACACCTCCGTCTGAGCATCTGGTCAACTATGTATGAATGAGATTTATGCATGATTGCTTCATGCCTCACTAAACTACATGTATGAATACTGTGTCACCATGTACGAGAAAATCTCCGACTTTATGCATGGTGTCAGTATGTATTACAGTTCAGTGCATGTATACAGCACCATCATCACAAGTCGGTCTTTGGTTGCGTTGAATAAGACAGTCAACAGTTCATTACCACAATAAATAACACCTTTTCTCTGGGGTACACGATTAACCTCCTAAATTAAATAAATAAATAAATAAAGTCCAACCAACACACGAAGGGGTACCATTATTTATTTAGTAAAGGACGCAAATTGTTTTTCCCGGGAGCGCGAGATTAGATCAGAAGTGCATCAGGTGATAAAAACTTCCAATTACGTCCGTCACTTACCTGTCTAAATTATTTCCTGAAAGTAGACAGGTAGGGACAGTAGACAGGTGATATAAGGAAAGTAGACAGATGATATCGGGACAGTAGACAGGTGATATATGGAAAGTAGACAGGTGATATAGGACAGTAGACAGGTTATATATGGAAAGTAGACAGGTGATATAGGGACAGTAGACAGGTGACATTGGGACAGTAGACAGGTGGGGTTGGGAGAAGGGTGAGTTAGTGGGGTGGAGAGGAGGGTGTGTTAGTGGGGTGTGGAGGAGGGTGGGTTAGTGGGATGGAGAGGAGGGTGGATTAGTGGGATGGGCAGGAGGGTGGGTTAGCGGGGTGAGGATGGTGGGTTAGTGGAGTGTAGGGTGGATTAGTGGGATATGGAGGAGGGTGGGTTAGTGGGGTGAGGAGGTGGGTGGAATTAGTGGGATGGGGAGGAGGGAGGGCAGGTGAGGGATGAAGAGGAAGGTAAAAGAGGGTAGAAAATAATAACCAAATTGAAATTCTCCCCAGGGGCTGACATCAACCCCTGGGGACACCAACTAGCAGCAGGTGACGTGGTCGGAGAGGTGGGGGGAGGGGGGACTAGGAAGTCTCACCGATGGGGGGACTCTTCAGCGTTATGTCACCAGCAGGAAGATCAACAAAGAGGCTCGTCCAGAAGAGTTACTAAGAGGGAAGCTATTAACGAGAAAGACTCTAAAGAGGAACTTACTTTGATGAACTCTTAAGATTGATCCAGGAAGAGAAACACAGTTTCCTCTAAAAAAAGACTCACAAAGACCCACTAACTCTCCACGTTTGACTCACTAAGAGTTATTCATTTGACCAATAAAGACTCACCTAGGAGGGGGAACTGACTAATGGGAACACGGAAAGGATTCCCCCAATTAGAATTTACTGAAATACTCTCAATAGGGAGAACTCATCAAGCTAAAATTCTTTGTAAACTTGTCTACTCAGGGGGGGGGGGGGGCTCAGTAAGGGAAAGGTTCAATAAAGGGGAGAGGAAGGGAGGTAGAGGAACATTGAGGGGAAGTAGAGGAAGAGGTACACTGAGGGTGGAGTTTACCAGAGAGGAGGTTCAGTAGAGAGAGAGAGAGAGAGAGAGAGAGAGGAGGGGAAGGAGGGGAGTCATTAAGGGAGGTTCAACAAAGAGCGACTCACCGATGAAGGGAAACAAGCAGGTGAGGGGATGCACTCACCTGTCAGACACATCAGGAAGGCCACCACTCTCACAGCCCGGCCACACATAAGACTCCTCATCTTCATGTGTACACGGAGGAAGCCGGTGCGTTCACGGGACTAGATTCTGTGCGCACTGAGCAGCTGGTGCGTACACAGGTCTAGATAATGTGTACACCGAACAGTTGAAAGGAACACGGGAGATTTTGGGGAGTACACGATAGCAGGTGATGTGTACGTGGGGTGGGGGGGGGTGGTTAAATAGTACACGACAGTACCGGTGTGTACACAGTGTGTTGCCGTGTACCAATCTGCTGTTGTGTGTCCTTTAGTGCACGGAGTCACCAGGGAAAATAGTCTTTAGGCAACTCTACCTTACCTCTTCAAACTTCTGCCTTAACTACCACAGGCTTCCCTTTTTACAGTTTAAATATGCTCTGTAAGGGGTCAAACGTATCCCTTTTTTGTGAAAGTTTAGGCGGGGATGTTGGGGGATGGGAGGGGGGAGTGCATTGAGGCGCGATAGAGTTAGTGAGTGTTGTAGGAGGGGGGAGCCGGAGGTGACGGTGTCGCTGCTGGAGGTGTAGACGTGACGGAGCGCGGCGGGACACTGAGGCTGAGGCGCCCTCCCAGACTCCCAGGTACACCCAACCCCATGCCCTCCCCACCACCACCCACCACCCCCATCCCTCCTCCTCCAGCTTCCACACACACCAATTTCCCTATCCTTACTGCCATCCCCTATATACCTTTACCCTATTCTTCCTCCATGTCTATCCCCATTCTATCTTTTCTCTCTTCCAGCCATCACCTCCCTACTCCTCACCCATGTCTCATCCGTATCATCTTTGAACTTCCTCCTATCTCTCTGTCTCCCAACCTCATTCATCCACCTCCATCCACGCTCTATCCTTTAATTACTTTAATGAATCAACAACATATTATCTACCACTAATTACCATCAACCCTAAACACGTCATTATCATTAATTACAATAAACTCTCAACACCTAATTATCACCAATTGCTTTGAACCATCACAACAATAATCCCATTCAGAACCATAATCCTGGCCTAGCAACTGGCTTCATTATTTATTGTCACACGCCTTTAGAATTAACTGTTCAGCCATCAGTTATCATGAATTACTCAACCCCTCGTTAACATAACAGGTAAGAAAATAATCACACTTGTTAACCATACATTATGAACCATCAATATTTAACACCTATTTTATCAACCATGACAAAGTGAACCCTTTATTTAACGGATTATATAGAGATGAAAGTCCGTTATATCGAGGGTCCGTTAGATGTGAAACCCTCATCTAACGGATTATGTGGAGATGGAAGTCCGTTATATCAAGGGTCCGTTAGAAGCGAACCCCCATCTAACGGATTATATGAAGAGAGAAGTCCGTTATATGGAGGTTTCACTGTATGGGAAACAAAAAAATTGAGAGTAATTCATCTATAGGAATTGATGACTTAGTTAATTTATGGATTTGTTTCTTTTATTGGCAATTTTATATTACTCCTCAACCTTGATATGCTTATCATGAGAAATGGCCAAAACTACAAATTTAAGGTATACAGAAAGCCCACACAGGTAGACAGTTTCATACACTTTTTATCGAATCACCTGGAGTCTACCAAAATGTCAGTTTTTTCTGCTATGTTCTTAAGATGTCTGCGTATTTGTGACTCTGAATTTATTGACGATGAATTGAAACACATTCGTTCCATTGCACAGAAACTCGGGTACCCTTTTGTGTTTGTTGATCGTTGTTTTAAAAGGGCTAAAAAATCCTTTCATTCCTCTCAAAGCAGACAAGTTCCTACACTTAAGAATATTCTGACTCTGCCCTATCGTAATGAATTTGTCCCGTTAGTTCGGTCCTTCAAGCTACTAAATATTAATGTTGTTTTCAAGTATGACTCAACCATTACCAATATGTTAATAAGAAATAGCCCAAGTTTGAATGTAAATGGAAGTGTTTATTGTATTCCATGTAGCAAATGTAATTGTAATTATGTAGGACAGACGGGAAAAACACTGCAGCTCAGAATCAAACAACATAAGTATAATATCAGAACAGCATCTGAAAGCAGTGCCTTGTTCGTTCATGTTAGGAATAATAATCATCCCATTGCTTGGGAAAAAAGTTTGGAAGTATTTAAATCATCTTGTGTCACAGAAAGACTTCTGGTTGAAGCTAGTTTGATTAAGGAATTAAAATCAATAAACCTTAGTGATGGTCAGTTCAAAACTGATAATATGTTACATAAATTTATTTGTCAGTGGCCCAAGGTTAAAAATGCTTTGAAAACCTTTGATCTAGATGTATGATAGTTATTCAGTGGGTCCCTTATTTTTGACCTGACCTGACTAGTCACGTCACCCCCCTTCTCTTAAGCTCCTCTACGTGTGTGTTGGTGTGTGGATTAGTGGATGACATCATTATGAGCTGACCTCATGTTTTTAAGGTCACCCTGTATATTTAAGCCTTTCTCTGTCCATGTAATCCAGTTGTCTCTGAAGATGTCTTGAATAAAGACGAAAGCTAAGGTGCTCCGTTGTTTCCCTTTTCCCGTGTGATTTTATCAATATATATATATATATATATATATATATATATATATATATATATATATATATATATATATATATATATATATATATATATATATATTCTCTTTTCAACTGTGTGCACAAAATTGGAACTCCAATGTATATACATATTTCCAATTAACGTTGATTTCAAATAATATGTAAACAATGGGACAACAATAATAATTACTATATTGCCAACCATTGAAAAAAAATAATAGGAAAAATTATTTTAAAAACCCCAAAGACTTCACTTCTCGATCCAATGTTGCTTAAAGACCTTCGTAGTTATGTGATTACAATTTACGGTTGTATCTAGTACGAGCAGGACCCCCTAGAGCCCACCTAACCTAACCAAACCACGTAGTAACATCACCATACTGTATAGATAGATATTAAGTTAATATTAGACACGTTCACACGGTAATGTCTGCTGCCTCTATTCTCTACTGAAACAATTAATTACCTGACGACTCGTAAGAAAGAGAGAAAAGTAACTTATTAAACAACACGAATCATAATACTAAAGTTTTTTATTTATACCAGTTTCACCTCACATCATCATTGGTCAAAGAGAAAAAATATTAATAATATATATGCGTCGTCTCTCGTGATGTTTATTGTATTCCAAGAACAAATATTCAACATATCAATGACTCTGTGCCGTCATAAAAAAACTCGCATGCCAAATACGTGGCTAAATTGCACAGCTAAACCGTCAAATGTTGAAAAATGTTGCCGCCACAATTTGAGGCTAGAATACCGACCATGACAAGGGGAACAGGTCCAGCGGGATTTACATTAATGGAAGTTTTAAATGACAATATAGAAATTGATTTACGAAAGCTGGCCATTGTGATGCACGACGTTAAAGAATGTAGTTGGTTACCCGTTTAATGGATACTGACCCCCGTGGCTGTCTGACTCACCAACCTTGTATATACCAGGTGACTAGTATGAGTACTCTACCTGTACTGCAATGGTGCCCAACCTGTAGTTCGCGGGCGCCGGAACCATATTATGGAGCCCGCGAGGGTTTATTAGAAAATTGTGAATTATTTGTGATTCTTTGTAAAAGTGAACTTAATGAAAATATGTAATAACTTGATGCAACTTTATTGTGAGAGAGAGAGAGAGAGAGAGAGAGAGAGAGAGAGAGAGAGAGAGAGAGAGAGAGAGAGACTGCGCATTAGTCCAGAGTCTATCGTGTACAGGACGTGTGTATTTACCCCCAGACCGGGCCTAGAGAGAAAGTCAGCCTTCTCACTGGGGTAAATACACTCGTCCTGTCCAAGAGTAAATGTAAAAATATGTAACTGGTAACAGTTAGACATGTAAAACTGCAAATAACTGTACAATATATATGAGATTTTTTCTTGACTGTAGATCTACAGTTTTGGCGCACCCCACTGTATTTACAATAATAAATGTGGCCCAGAGCCTACAAAAGGTTGGAGACCACTGCTGTAGAGGGTGATGGGAAAGTGGTGATGATGAGAACTGTGGTTGACTTATAGCAGTGATATAAGTCGACTATACAAGGATATAACGGTAGCTATATTTCGTACCCGGTATATGATGTATAATTTAATGTATACAGTATATATTAAGACGATATAGTTAGAGAGGCTGTACGCAATGTTAACGTTTGACAAATATCTGGAACATGAATCTAGTGCATCACAGACCAGCTTTATGTCATGCTCGTAGTCAGATAAAAACTTGACCCACAGGAGAGAGAGACTCACCCAAGTTCACCAGAGCTTCACTCACCTTATCAGATGATACCTGGACAAATAACTTGAGCAAACAACGACTTAATGGAATTCCTTTCTCAAATGTAACCACCCACTCTACAATTGTTTCAGTGTTTGGCAGGCGAATGAAACTTTTTAAAACTTAGAAAAAATATATATTCCTGGATATTTTTTTTAAATCAGACTGAAAACAAAAATATTACTTGTTTGACAGACACTCCCACTCTGACTGTCACCCGTATGTAATGTGAGAGATGTGTTAGGTGTTCAGGTTACATTAGTAAGGTGTAGGGAGGTTAATGTTAGGTTAGGTTAGGTAAGGTTAGGTTTGGTTAGGTTAGGTTTGGTTAGGTTAGGTTAGTATGGTGTAGGGAGGGTGCAGGGATCCTCCTCCTGTGCCTTGATATGTCAGTCTCATTTCGCAACAGCTGGTGGAGGCGGCGAGACAAGCGAGGCGGCCAGCACTGCCAATAGTCTTCGTGACCGGGGTTTTGTGTGTGTGTGTGTGTGTGTGTGTGTGTGTGTCCTCTAGGATTGAAACTGGAATAAAATGAAGGATTATAACACTCAAATACATAGAAGAGGAACAGTTGTAGAAGGATAAATGTAAAGACGAAATAATCCAGAAGAGACGGTGTTTAGAAGTGAGGTGAAATATGTAAAAAGAAGATGAACAATGTAGAAGAGAGGGGAGGAGGAGAGGGAAGAGTAACGATAAAAGAAAACAGTGTATGGACTTGAAAAAAAAGGGATGTGTGTGGAGGAAGGGAACGAAATATATGGGTGAGAACTGAGTAGGGTGTAGCAAATTAGGTACAGAGGGGTGCGTGTGTAGGGTTAGGAGAGACACGTGTAAGAGAGGGTTTGTGGGCTAAAGAGCTCACACCTAGTCGAGGGGAGAAGGGAGGGTGCGAACTGTACACTGACTTGTGTTATGGTGAAAAGGTTTTGATATGCAGAACTGGGGTGAGGAAGTAAGTGTGTGTGTGTGTGTGTGTGTGTGTGTGTGTGTGAAGTGACTTGTACAGGATGACGTTGTATCACCTCCTGAGTACCTCATGAGTACTATGACATAACCCTTTGAGTACGATGACATAACCCTTTAAGTACGATGACATAACCCTTTAAGTACGATAACTTAGCCCCTTAAATACGATAACTTAGCCCCTTGAGTACGATGACATAACCCTTTGAGTACGATAACTTAGCCCCTTAAATACGATAACTTAGCCCCTTGAGT